GCGCGGCCCCGGCGCCCGCTCCTACCCTCGCTCCGCTCCTGCGGCGTCGGGTCCAGCGCCTGCCAGCCCTCGTAGCCGGGCGCCAGGTCGGGCCGGCGCATCCAGCCCTCCACCCAGCAGTGGTAGTTCCTGTGGCAGAGCGGGGCCGGTGGGTGCCGCGCGGCCGCCCTGCGCCCCGGCCCCGCGCCACGCGCCGCCACTCACCAGATGGAGTCCTTGGAGCGCCGCTCCGCCTCGCCCGTCTCGCTCAGGTACCGGTCGATGACCAGGTTGCCGTTGGTGTCATGGGCGGAGTTGTAGTTGGTGACCACGCGGCTGGGGATGCCCAGGCAGCGCAGCACTGCGGGCACGGGGCGTGAGGCCGCCGCGGCACCAAGTGGCACCGCGCGGCACCGTGTTGCACAGCACGGCAGTGCATGGCGCCATGTGGCACCATGCAGCGCTGTGCAGCATCGGGTGGGACCACATGGCACCACGCGGCACCGCGGCTCCTGGAGCCCAGCGCACCCCCCTGCCCTCCCGCAGCGCGTCCCGTGCTCAGAGCCGCACTGCRAGGGGTCCCTGTAGGACACCCTGCTAGGGGCCCTGTCCCCAGGGCCACCCGCATCTTGGCCTCGGCCTCTGCCCACCCTGGCCCTGTTGTCCCCAGCCCTATGAAGGGCAGTGCCCCCAGGGCATTTGGAGCAGCCGCCCCATCCCCGTTCCCATCCCCGTCCCCATCGCCATGTCTCCTCACCCGTGCAGGCCACGGCCGCGAACACCCAGCACTGGCCGTACTTGACCGGCTGGCAGCCCAGCTTCTTCCAGCGCCGCAGGATGTCCACGCTGCCCATCCAGGCCATGGGGCTGGTGCCGTCCTCGTAGCAGTTGTCCCAGCGCCCGGCCAGCACGCCGCGGTCCTCGTCGTTGCAGTTCACCTGGGGGACGCGTGCGGCCGTGGCGCAGGGCTYGGTGCTGCCGCCGCCACCCGGCGCCGTGCACTCACCATGGCGCTCACCACGCGGCACACGTAGGCCGCGTCCCCGCGCCGYGAGCAGTCCCGGTCCTGGTCCCGCAGGAACTTGGGGTTGGTGTCCAGCAGCTTGAGGCAGATGGCCAGGACGTCGTCCTCGAACTGGGGCAGGCGGCTGTGTGAGCAGCGGGCGGCCCGGGCAGGGGCAGCCGCGTGCCCTGGCACCGTGTCCCCTCCCCTGCGGCCCCCTTGCCCTCTGGGGACAGGCGCAGGGCGCTGTGCACAAGGGAGCCCTCCCTGGTGGGGACACGGGGACAGGACGGGTCCATGCGCATCACCTGGCCGAAGTTCCAGGGGGTGGCAGTGATGTAGTCCCGAGYGCCCTGGTAGATGAGGCCCTGCTGCGACAGCACGTACTCGCTGCGCTCATCCTCGTCCCGGAGGAAGACCGTGTCCTCTGCGGGGACAGGCACAAGAACCCGCTGGGGACGGGGACTGGCCCGGCATGGGAACGAGGGGGAGCAGGGGGTGGGGACGGGATAGGGAAGCTGCCCACGCAACCCGCCAGCGCTGCCCCTGCCCCAGATGTCACCCCCCAGCGCCACCTCCCTGGGCTGGGGACAGGCCAGGAAACCGCAGCAATTCCATGAAAAAATGCGGTGGGAAATGAAGCAAGAGGAGCAAAGGGCCAGGATTGCTCCCCTCTGGAAAGGATTTCAGCCGAGCTGGGCTGAACCAGCGTGACCCTTGCCCAGAGCTTTTGTTTYTGCTTTCCATTTATTATTGTTTCTCCCCCCATTACTTCCCTTCTACTCCATGGAGCTGGGTTTTCCCAGGAGTGGAAACCTCTCAGGGAAACAGCAAGAAACGCAGAGCACCGGGAGCCGGCTGGGAAGGCCCCTAAAAGCCCTGCTGCTCACAGAGGTCACAGCGAGAAAGAGGCCCCTTTACTGGAAGCAGCTTGGCAGGGAAAGCGCCTGTGTGCCGACATGTGTGCGTATACGTGTGCGCCAGCGCCGCTTCCCAGCCCTTATCTCTGCGCCCCCGGCACAGCGCGCTCCGCTCGCCGCCAGGAAATTCCAGCTTGGAGCAAACACGTCTGCAGCGGGGACAGCGCGGGGACAACATGGGGACAACATAGGGACAGCGCGGGGACAACGTGGGGCCAACGTGGGGACAGCGCGGGGATACGTGGGGACAACACGGGGACAGCACGGGGATACGTGGGGACAGCGCAGGGACAATGTGGGGACAACGTGGGGACAGCGCGGGGACAGCACGGGCACAATGCGGGGACAACGCAGGGACAACGTGGGGACAGCGCGGGGACAATGTGGGGACAACGTGGGGACAACGTGGGGACAGCGCGGGCACAATGCGGGGACAGCGCGGGGACAACGTGGGGACAGCGCGGGGACAGCGCGGGCACAATGCGGGGACAGCGCGGGGACAACGTGGGGACAGCGCGGGGACAGCGCCGGGGCTCCCATGCGGGGTGGGCAGCTCACACCCCCTGGGCGGGCGGGCGACCCTCTCACCTGGGTGCCAGGGGTTGAAGAGCAGCACGAAGTCGCCCAGGCTGAAGCTGGTGCCCTGGTAGTCGGTGGCGGCCTCGAGCGTGAGGCGGTAGTGGCCGATGCGGGCGGCGGGCGGCGAGCAGAGCGAGAGCGAGAGCGAGGCGCCGTCCTGCTCCTGCAGCACCGCGCTCCAGCTCGACTCCTCGGGGCAGTCGCTCAGCGCAAAGTGGCACTTGGTGCCCGAGCTCTCCGAGGGGCAGGGTCCTGCCGGGCACGGTGCTGTCAGTGCCCTCRGCTCCGCGTGGCTGCACCCGACGCGTCCGTGCTGCAATCTGGGCCCATGGTGGGCAGCGAGGACAGGGGCTGCATGCCGGGGTCCCCATGGGCAGGGGCTGGATGGTGACACCCACCCTAGGCTGGAACCGTAGCCGGAACCCTGTGACCGGGTGACCTGGAGGCAGCAGCGCAGGGAGAGGGGCCCTTCCCGGGACGCGGCACCGGAGCAGCCCTTTGCAGCAGGGCACTCTGCGGAGCTGGCCCATCGTGAACCATGGCCCCATGTGCCCTGCGCATCCTGGGCACCCCGCATACACCATGCATCCCAAGCACCKTGTGCACCCCATGCATCCTGTGCATCCCAGGCACCCCATACACCTCGGGCACCCCATGCATCCTGCACATCCTGGGCACCCTGCACATCCCGCATGCCCCATGCATCCCAAGCACCTTGTGCATCCTGCACATCCTGGGTACTCTGCACATCCCAGGCACCCTGCACATCCCACCCATCCCAAGGGTGCTGGAAGCCTGACAGAACTCGGCGCAGGCTTGAGCACTGCCACGAGCACCCCAYGTTTTGTCATTACAACAGCACCATGGGGCTGGGCCGGCGCGGGGGCTCAGTGGCCACAGGGCTCAGTGGTGGCCAGGCCACCTGCACGCGGCCCCCGGCGCCCGCCAGGCCCAGCCCTGCAGCCACCCGCGACTCATGAGCTCATGAGCGTGACACAGCGTCTCCCCTGCCCACGCAGCGGGGCCAGCAAAGCGGCTGGGGAGGCACYGGCTGCGGCTCCCGCCCGGCCCCGCCGCCCACGGCCGCGGCCTGGGTGGCTCCGCTGGTGCCACTGCTTTAAAAATACCCGCGCTATTTTTGCCGGCGCGCCGGGCGGGAGCGCGGGGCACCCACCTGTCTCCACGTTGAAGGAGAGCTTGTCCAGCCCCTCCTCGTAGCCGCGGCCGGCGAAGTGCAGCGTGAGGCCGAAGGGCTGTCCGCGGCGCACCACGAGCTGCCGGCAGCCCATGGCTGCCGTGCGGTGCTGCCGCCCGTTGCTCTCGCACTGCAGGTCGCAGGTCTCCAGCACCAGCTCTGCGGGGTGGCATCGCCTGAGCCCCGCGGCACGGGGACTCAGTGGGTGCCCGGGCTCGGCCCGCCGGAGCTGGCACTGGGCATCCCCCGTGTCTCCCCGGGCAGAGCCCCGTGCTTGGGGACAGCGCGTGGGGACGGCGGCAGCAGGACGGGCTGTGCTGGGAGGTGCTGCAGGGGCTGCCCCGGGCGGCTGCTCCCTGTGCCCATGTCACGGGCCACCCGGCGCCCAGCTCCGCTGKGGGGTCCTGTGCGGGGTCACAGTGAGTTTGGTCCCCCCATGTCCCTGCAAGGAGCATCTCCGAGCTCTGGGCATCCTGCGGCTCTTTGTGGCACCTGGTCAGGCTGAGCAGGAGCTTCCCAGGCCCTTCAGCTGCCTGGTGGCTGTGCCAGGGGCAGAGGCCGACAGGGGCATGTCAGTCCCTGGGCTCGGGCATCGCTCTGCCCGCTCCAGCCCTGCCATGGCCCACAGGAGCAGAGCGGTGCACCTGCTGCAGGGGCCGCATTGGAACAGTCCAGTGCCCTGCAGCACAGTGCCATGCCCTGCAGTGCKGTGCAGTGCGGTGCAGTGCAGTGCCCTCAGGCCTGTCCAGCCACCCGTGAACGCAGCCAGACGGATTAACTGCGGCTCCAGGCAGGAGCTTTAGCGTGGGGAGCCCAGAGCGCGCTCAGCACCCGCCGGTGCCAGGGCGGGCGCGGGGCCGTCTCCGTCCTGCCCCTGGGCACTGTGGCTGCCCGGCCCTCCCGGTGCAGCCGCGTGCGCGCAGCAGAGCCAGCGCCGGCCCCGGGGCCGTGGGGGATACAGGGGGGCCGGGCGGCACTGGGGCTGTTTGCCCAGCGTCAAGGATGRGGCTGCCCCGGCAGGTCCCAGAGCGTGGGCACAGACGGGACCTTGTCCTCTGGCAGCACCGCATGCCCAGCACCATCCTGCACCAACAGCCGCTTGACAGCGGCATTTAACACAGGCTGGGGCATCTTTGCTCCAGGGTTATGAGGAGCGGCGGCACAGAGCCATGTAGCCCTGGAGAAATCTTTCTGGTTTTGTTTGTGGAAAAGATCCTTCAGCTCTGGGCAAGAGGCCGGGTGCCTGCTGCTCCCTGCCCGCCTGCCAGCACCGGCTCCCAGGCAGCTCCAAGCGCTTTAAATAGCCCAAAACGTCACTCTGCAATCGCAGCCGGGACTGGGAGCGCAGCCCGCCAAGCCGCACGTCCCCCACGAGCCTGAGCTCCAGCACTTCACGTTCGCCCGGCTTTGCAGCGCAGCCGCCCCGACCCGTGCACACCCCGGCGCGGAGCAGCGCCCGGACACCCGGCGGCCGCCGCGGCCGCCCCGCGCTGCAGGTGCCGGGGACGGGGCTGGGGGCAGGCGTGGGGCGCTGGTGGCAATGCACTCCTACCTTCAGCCATGGTGGGAGCTGCGCGGGGCCGTGGGCGCGTGGGGCGCGTGGGGCTCGGAGCGTCCCTGCCGCGTGTCCCTCCCCGCCGCTCGCCGCTTTTATAGCGGAGGCTGCTCACACCCCCGGCYGGGGGGCGCGGCGGCACCGCCAGGGAAAACAAAGTTTCCAGGAAACCCAGTGCTTGGGTCCCACCTATCTAAAAAAACAAGTGAAAAGCGGCGGCGTGGGCCAAGCTGCGGGCTGGGCGTGCAGGGACGCGGGGACCTGGGGACACTTGCGTGCCACCGGGTGCCACCCGCCCTGCASTCCCCCCCGGCGGGCAGCTGCGGACCCTGGGAGCGGGCAGGGAGGCAGCCGGAGGCGGAGGGGGCGGCGCGGGGCCCGCGAATGCTTTCTCCATATAAAGTTTTCTCCCTTATCTCTGTGCCCTTCTGGCACGGGCTGTGGCTGCCTCCGCGCTGGAGCAGCTCGGCGCCTTCCCGTCAGTGGTCCGGGGGCTGCGCTGGGCAGGCAGCGCGGCCAGGCCGGGGCCGCGGGATGCTCCCTTTCCAGCCCTGCTGCTCCCAAGGGCGGCTCGAGGTCCCGGGGCTCGGGGAGCAGCGGGCAGCCCTGCTGCGTGGCCGGGAGCCCCAGCCGGGGGACACTGCGGCACCGGGGTGCTCAGGGTGCACAGGGAGCTGCGCTGAGCCCTGCGGGGCACCCTGGTGTCACACTGGGCACGTGCTGGGGACACGGAGGGGCTGCGTCCTGAYGGGCTCGTGCTGGGAAGCGCAGGTGTGACATCCTGCTGTGCACGTGCCAGGGACACAGAGGTGCTGGCAGCTTCCCTGGATCCCCCGCAGCGCTGGCACTGCCTGCGGGGGCAGAGGAGTCGCCAGGGAGTTGGCAGCGTCACCTGGCAGCATCGAGGCAGCCGTGGCCAAAGCCTTTGGGGTCCTTTAGCAGCACGTTGCTGCAGGAGGAGCGCGAGGGACACAGAGGACGCTGGGGATGCCCTGGCTCCCCCGAGCCAGCCGTGGTGCCCGCGGTGCCCGACGCTGCCAGCAGCGTGTGGGGAGGCGGCTGCAGGGCCCATCAGCCACATCAGGGCCTCAGCACGAGGCTCCTTGTGCTCCAGGCACCGCGAGAGCCGCTCGTTTGCCCTAGTGCTGGTGCCGGGGCAGTGCCCGCTCTGTGCCGGGTGCCGCTCCGGCCCGGCTGCCCGGGKCCCCGTGCCGGCCGGGCTGTTTGCGCCGCCGGGCGGGTACCTGGGGCCGGGCCGGCCAGGGCAGCCCTGACTCAGGTCCTGCGCAGACAGACAAACAAGTCATGAAAGGGGTCAGTGTCCGGGGCCGGCCGCGGGGCTGAATCAGCCGTGGGTGGATCCCCTGCCGCGGTCCCGGCGGCGAGGGGGGTTCCCGGCCCCTGGCACCGCAGGGCTCGGAGCCCTGGGAGGGCCGCAGCAGGGACGGGGTGGACGGGACCCCGAGGTGCCCTAGTCCCATGGCAGGGTCAGCCGGAGCGCCGGGGCTGAGCATCTCCAGAGCAGGGCACTCCCGTGCCCCCGGGCTGCCCGCTCCCGTTTTGGGTGAAGCGTCCCGTGCTTCAGTCTGCGGCCACCACCTCGTCCTCCCTCTTGTCCCTGGCTCGACCTGCTGGTAACGCTTCCCGAAGCCCYCCAGGGCACCGCGGGCCCTCCTGGCCGCAGGGGCACCTTGTTGTCCAGCAGGATGCCTGGGTCCTTCCCWGCGGAGCTGCTGGGTCACCCCCAGCCTCGCGGGGTGGTTCCTCCCAGGCTCGGGCAGTGCTGGAGGAGGCGGCTGCTGGGTCCTGCTCCTGGAGCCCTGACAAATATTTCTGCTTCCCAGAATAAGGAGACACTCGCTCCAACTCCGGCCGGTGCCGGGCCCGGCTCCGCTCCCCGTGCGGCTCCCTCTGGATGGCGGCGCAGCCCGGGGGCACCAGCCGCAGCGGGGCTCCGTGCCGGCAAAGTGGCACCAGCGAAACAACAGCGCAGCGACAATGCAACAACAATGCAACAACAATGCAACAACAATGYAACAACAACGTAACAACAATGTATCGGCAAAGCAGGAACAATGCAACAACAGTGTAGCAACAACACAGCAACAATGTACCGGCAAAACATCCTCAATGTGTCTTCAAAGTAGGAACAACGTAACAAGAGTTGCATCAATGCAACAACAACGTAACCACAATGTAGTGTCAAAGTAGCAACAATGTAACAACAATGTAACCACAATGTATTCTCAAAGTAGCAACAATGTAACAACAATGTAACCACAATGTATTCTCAAAGTAGCAACAACGTAACTACAATGTGATGTCAAAGTAGCAACAACGTAACAATACAACAACAATGTATTGGCAAAGAAAGCTCAAAGTATCAGCAATGTATCGGCGGTGTAAGGACAATGGAGCGACATTGTGCTGCCCCGCACCAGCGGCGTTCCCCGGAGGCAGCAGCGACGTGCTGGGATGCGGCAGCCGGCAGCGCCAGCGGCACCGGCAGCGAGGGCCGGCGGGCAGCTCGGCTCCCCGCGCCGCTGGGCCCAACCCGGACCCGGAGCCACCGCGGCGCCGCTCCCGGCTCCCCCGAGCTCGGCCGAGGGCGGCGCCAGGAGCCCAGTCAAGCAGGTGCCCTCACCTGTGGCGAGCAGAGAASCACAACCGGCTTCTCGGGAAACCCTGGGGCCCAGAGCGACACGAGAAGAGATTGAAAGAAGAGCTCATGGTTTCCCGGCTTTGTGCTTAGGCCAAGCCTGGCCATTTTATTTAAAAGCAGCAGAAACTCAGACCTTACTCACACCCTTCATTTGTTTATCTTGGGGAGAGCAGAGGGGATGGGGGGGTGTCCTGGCCGTGGGGGCTTGGGACTGGTCCGGGATTGGTTTGGGAGCAGGTCGGGATGTCCCGACCCTCAGGCTGGGACGAGTCCTGCTGGTGATGGGAGCCTCTGGGCCCACCAGGGCTCAGGAGCGGGTGCACTGGGATGACCAGGAGGGGGGACAGGGTGCACCAGGACTGGGGGGCTGGAAGCAGCACCGCAGCCCTGGCCCGGGGGCACCCACTGGGACCACTGGCGAAAACTGCACTTCGTCAATCTGACAGGAGCCRAATTCCAGCCTTCAAGAGTCACTTCCAAGCAGTTCCCTGGAAAAGGAAAAGGCCCTTCCTCCCCGCCAAGGTGGTCRATGTGCCTTCAGAACAGCTTTTCCACCGTAATCTGAGACTCGTGTGGATTTCGACAGCAGTTCCCAGGAACTGGGGGGAGAAGAGGTCTCTTCCCCAGGTCTTGGCTCTGACCTGCAGCAATACGTAAGTGCAGAGCAGCTGTTTGCAGGGCCGCAGGTGCTCCCCGCGGCCCTGGAGCGGCTCCGTGCCCGGCCGGGCTCCAAGCGCAGCTCCAAGCAYGGCTCCAAGCATGGCTCCATGCCCGGCCGGGCCGCCCGGAGCAGCAGCGGCGCCGGCTGCGGCGCGGGGGCTCCAGCCCCTTCCCGGCTCCGGGCCCCGCTCGCCCCCCGCGCTGCTTCTCCCCGGGCGCCTGCACGGGAGGAGCTTTCYCTGCCCTGCAAAAGGGGAATCTTCCCTGGGCTCCGGGGCTGGGGACTATCCSGCACCCTGCGCGGCCGCTTGGGCAGCGCTGGGGACGGCCGGGGCTGGGTCCTGCTCCTGGAGCCCTGACAAATGTTTCTGCCTTTCTGGGATAAAGAGACATTGATTAACTCCCATRCTTGCCTCGTTGGAAAGGTTATAGCTTAATTGGGCAGATGGAGCACCATAAATCAGGGCCTGGAGGAGCGAGTAGATAAGAGTTTTGCAGGATGTTGCAAAAACGCATCTTGGTGGGATCCRTCCAGCTGAGCCCGTGCAGCGCTGGGTGCTGCGGGACAGTGGGAGCCGGGAGCAGACAGGTCACCCTTCTGGGACGAGTAAATCACGGGGCTTTTCAAAATATTTATATTCTTTTGGAAACCAGAGAAAAACAGGAAATCCATCRTTTGTTTTATGCAGAAGAAATGATTTCAACTGTATTTTGGAATATTATTTATTCCATTTCTCCGTAGGAAGTGCTACTCCTCTCAAAGCAATAGGCATAGGGAATCAGCAACGCACTAGGTTGCTCCTGTGGTAATCCTGGGCAAGGGAAACACCTGGGAATTGATGAGGACTTTTACTCACAGCTGGGGAGAGGTTTCATTTCTCACATCAGGTGAGGGATAAATGTGATCCCAGGCCTGGGCCTGCCCCCACAGGAGCCCAGAGAGGTGGTGGGAAGGATGGATCCCGAATGGACYGAGCAGAATGGGTGGTTTCTCTGCATGCCGACAGCTCTGCAGTGTGGCCACCCTGGCTCCACGCAGGAGACGTTCACCCGGTGCCGCCGCGGTGAGAAGAGGTGTCACCCAGGGGCTCTTGTGCCGGGCGACTCCCAGCGGTGAGGACCATCTCGTGTCTCCTTCTAGCTCCGGTTTATCGAACAGCTCTAGTCTTAGTACCTGGCTACTTGTAGCTTCTAGAGCGGGGGGCTGGCGGGGGGACCGGCTCCCAGGGAGCYGCTGCACAACCCGCTCTGCGGCCCCGTGAGCCCCGTGGGCAGCAGGAGCCGGCTGCAGGGCCCAGGATGAGGTGTGCACGYCAGGGAGCCCCTGCACGGCAGCCGTCCCCTGCGCCCTGCCCTGCCCGGCCCGGCGGGGACCTCGCCCGGGTTTGTCGTGGCCAGCGAGGTCAGTGCAGCCGCGACGCGCCCGGTGCTGCCCCCGGGGCAGGGGCTGTCGTGGGGCCTGTGAACGGGGCAGGGCCGAGGGCGGCGGCTGCCTGCACCCCGGGCCCGTGCAACCGGCTGCGGTGACGCTCGCCCCGGGGAAGGGCCTTTGTGCAGCGGCTGCTCCGCGCTCAGCCTGTCCCTGTGTCCCCAAGGGGCTCCGCAATGCAGAGCGATGGGGCCGCTGCTGGTGCCCGTGGCCCCGGGCAGTGCTTGGGGGCCTCACAGGGTGCCCGTGGCAGCAGGGTCCCCTCTGAGCGGCCTCTCCAGGTAGAGGATGCGTGGGGGCTTGGTGGGGGTGGCGGGCGGCTCGCGCGGGGCCGGGCTCTCCTCGGCCGACGCGTGCGAGTCCGAGTCCTCCGAGGAGAGGCTGCTCCAGCTGGACACCTGGAAGTACTGGGTGGCCTCGGGGGGTGGGCGGCGGGCGCGGGCGGCCGCCTGGGTCCCATGGGCTGTGCGCTGGGTGTCACTGCAAGGGGACGGCTGCTCCACACTGAGGGGCTGCCCCGGGGCAGTCTGACCTGGGCTCCCTCCGTCCCTGGGACAGGCTGTGCCCCCGGGGCCGGGGGGAGAGATGGTGCGAGCGGCGTCGCCTTCCTGCACCCCCCTGGTCTGGTTTGGGGGTGATGCCCGTGGGGAGGTGGCACCGGCCTCGGCGACCCCCTGCTCACCCGC